ATTGCGGCAACATGATGTGACCATTAACATTGCGGCAACATGATGTGACCATTAACATCGCCACAACACGATGTGACCAATGACATCGCCACAACACGATGTGACCATTAACATTGCGGCAACATGATGTGACCATTAACATTGCCACAACACGATGTGACCATTAACATTGCCACAACATGATGTGACCATTAACATTGCCACAACATGATGTGACCAATGACATCGCCACAACACGATGTGACCATTAACATTGCGGCAACATGATGTGACCATTAACATTGCGGCAACATGATGTGACCATTAACATCGCCACAACACGATGTGACCAATGACATCGCCACAACACGATGTGACCATTAACATTGCGGCAACATGATGTGACCATTAACATTGCCACAACACGATGTGACCATTAACATTGCCACAACACGATGTGACCATTAACATTGCGGAAACATGATGTGACCATTAACATCGCCACAACACGATGTGACCAATGACATCGCCACAACACGATGTGACCAATGACATCGCCACAACACGATGTGACCATTAACATTGCGGCAACACGATGTGACCATTAACATTGCCACAACACGATGTGACCATTAACATTGCGGCAACATGATGTGACCATTAACATCGCCACAACACGATGTGACCATTAACATCGCCACAACACGATGTGACCAATGACATCGCCACAACACAAAGAAAGTCTCAAAAGCACTGGCTTCAAAAGCAGTTTTTGGACACTTAGGCTCTTTGCAAATATTGCACAGCCTCCTCTACGAGAATTCGTGACAGTGGAATTGCTTATTATTCAACCCAGGCGGAAACTGACATAACATATTGCCCTCCGGCGAAATGAATGTCTTCTGAACACAGAAAGTTTAGAATTATATAAATGAATTGTTTAAGATTATCGCCATGAGTTTCAAGCCATATTTGACCCTTGCACTGAACAAATACAATAACAAACAGGAACAGCAGGTGGAACATTTGGGTGCACGTGGAGTAGTTATCTCTACTGAAGCCTTATTGGGTGGAGGAGAAACAACACTGCCCACGCGTAGGAGGTAGCAGGGGTGACCTTAACAATGCGAGTGGTTTCAGCATACGAGAGCTTTTTTTCAACTCGGACTCGCTGAACTGGACCCAGCTTCCTCATTTGTTTAACTGCCTCGATACACAGCACTGTGATTTTCTCCGCAATTTCGACAGTTCGACACACCATCATCCTTACAGTTTCCAACCTTATGGTACCCACTACATCTTTACATTCTGAAAGTTTACTCTTGCAGCGCGAAGACACGTGGCCAAACTGTTGACAAGTGTACCACCTAATTGCTGGCGGTACGTGAAGGCAGACACGAAATGACTGAAGACCGCCTCCGTGGTCTAGTGGTAGAGCGTCCGCCCGGAGAGCGGAAGGTCCGGGGTTTGATCCCCGGCCGCGTCATACCAAAAGACGTTAAAAGAAGGTACTTGTTGTTACCCTGTCTGGCGCTCGGCATTAAGGGGCTAAAACAAGTACTGGTCGTCTCGGAGTCAGTATACTGTGTCTGAGTGGGGTATTCATGTTAAACTGCGGCATGGTATCTCAGGGTGCTAGCACTATCCATCACTTGCTTGATAAAGGTGTTAGGATCTACACCGAAACGTCGCACTAATTGTAATAAAGTAGTTGTTCATCCATAGCACCTGTCTTACTTCATCACACCAACTTCTAAATGCCACTTAAAGAAATTATTTAAGCTGTTTCGAGACTCGAAAGCGGTTGTCACATCGGTGAAATGTAAACAATGACACACGCACCAATTTCAACAGTGATATTTGCGTAAATATTTCGTGTCAGCTCACTGTTGTCACGAAATCGTATACATATTAAATGGAATTAAACGACCACGTCAATGAAATACTGTTAGCATCTTTATTTCAGAAAATCTGATTACGCAAATGTCGCCGATTATACCCCGTTTTCTCCCATTGTGTAATGGTGGTTAAACGGAATTATTGAACGCCCAGTATCCGTAATAATGGTGTTTAATGATAGGGTCTGTCATTGGTTCTGATATTTGGCCTTGGATTTTTTCACAATATTTGGCATTTGTTTTCTTATTACACAGTGAAATTAATCATAAATAGATATAATAATTTTGGAAACATATTGGAATAATTTCGATCTAGTGTTTCTGAACTATATCTGTGCTTGTTAAAAACTTAGGTTTGAATGGGGTAATAATAAAGAATATGTTCATAAAATTTAATTAATTTGGTACAGTGGCATACACATCCATGTGTATTCCATATGATGCTATACAGCCACTGGGAAATCCATCTACAGAGCATCATAAAGAAGTGCATACCATTATTATTGAAAAAAACTTATGATTATAATCATCATGTTTGATGAAATATCTGTGTACGGAATTATCTACAAATAAACTACTCAATAAAAGAAGTTAAGTTACATAATTGTTCAAGCATAGTAAAAAAACCAGTATGATCATTATGGTAATAAATAACATTAAAAGTGCACAGAAATTGTAATATTTGAGGATGAAAGCTGAAGACATGTGTACTTTCCACTATTTATTTGTGAACTGTTTAACTAGGGATGATGATTACCGGTACCAATGAAACCTGTCTTAACTATGAGTATCATAGTTTTGGGGGCTTAAAGCCAGAATCAAAGCACATACTGAAAACATTCAGAGCATGATATACATGTAGATCTGACAGAAGCAATAAATCACATACATGTTATATGATATCATCATATATTCAGCCAGTGGATAAAATGATGCATTTGAATGTTTGTTTCACACTCTTACATGTATGCTTTAACAGTACTGCTTCTATACCTGCATCAACACACAATCAGTGACTTTGCTTTCAACTTGTTGACCATTTTTGAATTGTAATTTACATACGAACAAGTTCCCAAACTGATTATGTTAATTTTTGTTTTTGCTTTTATTCAGGACATCAGGTTCATCAGCTTTGCAAATTTTTAGATTGTTAAATTTTTAGTAAAAAAACCAAGATGGAATTTTCTCAGATGTCTGATTGTTCAAAACCCTTTGGAGTTAATGTAGATTGGTTAGTAGATACATCTTAAATTATAATTATTTTTATTTACTTGAAAGTTATGGTTATTTGTTACTTCATGTTAATGACAATAGACAGATGGGGGACGTTTTTAAATTTTAACAACTGCATTGCTTTATACCAATTATGTCTTTGATAAACTACAGCCCTTGAAAGTGGGAGTTTCACACATAGATTCCTCTGGTTTTCTTGACAAAATCATTGGCCACTTTCAGGACAAACTATTTGAGTGTCTGGATCTCAAACATGGCATTGTTATCTAGTAGAATTTCATTGCATAGTGAGTTTCCATATCAACTAGAAAACCTGCCAATGGTGTAATTTATAATAAAGTTTTCTACAACCTCATGCTGAAGTGTCTTCAGTTGCTTCATTAATTGCCACACCATGACTACTTTTACATCTTTATTTTTTTTCATCCTGTGAAAAAGAGAATACACATGCATGTGTATGCCACTGTACCAAATTAATTCAAAATAATGAACATATTCTTTATTATTTGGCCACTCACACTACAAGCACACACATAGTTAAACAACGCTAGATTCGAATTAATCAATTATTTTTCCCAAATTATTAGATCTATTTATTATTAATTTCATTGTGTAACCACCCGTTCTAGCGTTTTTCTATAGTAAATACATGGCGTGTCCACCATGTTTGTTCCTCTGGTGGTGGCCGCCACTGTGCAGTCATTGCCTGGGTCAGTGTAGCGCCAGCGCAGCATACCCAGGGAACCAGGCTGCCATAACTATGGTACACGATATGGAGTCTGTACTGGGAAATGTATACAAGTTCTTTACATTTTAGGGAGATAGAGGGAAATCGTTAATTAATTTAGATAGGGTCAATTACCGAACTGCCCAAGCTACTGGGTTTTCAATTCATACCATCAAGTCTGCGGTATGATAAAAAAACGGCTATCGGCAGATGGACAAAAAGCCCCCACAGACCATCAGGTAAAGGTAAACTTGTCATTGCTTTGCATGCTTCAACCCATGATATGGGGTATATTGATAGATGTGTCTTAGTTTTCGAGGCGAAAAGGAAAACTGGTGATTTTCATAAGGAAATTATAGGAGGTGAAGTGTTCATAGACTGTTTGGAACTTCAGCTATTGCCCATTTTAAACAACGCCAGTGTTGGTGTCAAGGATAACGCAAGTTAATATAACGTCCGGGGATCAGATACTGTCGCCCAAGCCATGATTAGTCTGAAGGCGACCATACAGGAATGTATGACATTGTCGACTTCAGACCATATGAAACGAAAGTTCAACTCCTGGAGAGAATTCTGCTGAATAAGAAACCAGTAAAGTACAAGACATATGTGTTGGCGGCACAACACGGCTACGTTGTCTTACGTGCGCCAGTCAGACATTGTGAGCTCAACCCTGTTGTGCCCATCTTGGCTAAGTGTAACGGGTTCGTAGCAAGATATAACACAACATTCAAAAGTAACGATTCATATACGTCATCATCGGAGAAAAATGCTACCTCAAGAAACCATCTGTAGAACAACAAATACTCCTGGATTCCAAAACCGCAACCTTCCAATACTCATCCCGTTTCATAGCTCTTAACTGGTCCATCATGTTTCCAAGCAAATATAAAGCAGTACATATCCTAAATTGCTACCCCATCAACGCATGTCAATGAAGTACAATAGTAGCAATATTTTGAGACATTTGCACCTTGGAGAATGCACGGGACATGGGAACAATGTGTGAAGCCCATTTCTGGTTTTCCCCCGCCGTGATATTGCTGGAATATTGCTACAAGCGGCGTAAAACCATACCCACTCACCATAAATTTTCAAAAAATACTTTCAGATTTGGTATATTCAATACACGGTATAGCCACCTTCAAAACAAGGAAACGACAGGCCAGACATTATTTATTTTAACTGTTTGTCTACAGAGTCTTCACTCGAGGCTGTTCACCGTTAAACACCTGCAAATAGTAGAGCGTGTAAATTATACATGCATATCAAACAGTATGCCTTTGTGTCGTAACGCGTGTAGTAGTCTTAACTGCCACATTTGTTTTAAAGTCGTCGTGCTACGACAGCTTTGTAGGATGCTGCTCTGATATGATTTGTCAGTCAGATTTCAAATAACAAATGTTATGTTATGTTATTGTATCCTAACTCAGAAAGGCAGTTGGGGGTGAATCTGTACCAGGTACATTGTATCATAACTCAGAAGGGCATATAGGGGTGGATATGTACCAGGTACATTGTATCATAACTCAGAAGGGCATATGGGGGTGGATATGTACCAGGTACATTGTATCATAACTCAGAAGGGCATATAGGGGTGGATATGTACCAGGTACATTGTATCATAACTCAGAAGGGCAGAAGGAGGGGATATGTACCAGGTACATTGTATCATAACTCAGAAAGGCAGGTGGGGGTGAATCTGTACCAGGTACATTGTATCATAACTCAGAAGGGCAGATGGGGTGAATCTGTACCAGGTACATTGTATCATAACTCAGAAGGGCATATAGGGGTGGATATGTACCAGGTACATTGTATCATAACTCAGAAGGGCAGATGGGGTGAATCTGTACCAGGTACATTGTATCATAACTCAGAAGGGCAGATGGGGTGAATCTGTACCAGGTACATTGTATCATAACTCAGAAGGGCAGAAGGAGGGGATATGTACCAGGTATATTGTATCATAACTAAGAAAGGCAGAAGGAGGGGATATGTACCAGGTACATTGTATCATAACTCAGAAGGGCAGATGGGGTGAATCTGTACCAGGTACATTGTATCATAACTCAAAAGGGCAGAAGGAGGGGATATGTACCAGGTAAATTGTATCATAACTAAGAAAGGTAGAAGGAGGGGATATGTACCAGGTATATTGTATCATAACTCAGAAGGGCAGGCACATCCTCCTCATTTCCCTTCTGAGATACAATGTACCTGATACACATCCTCACCACTATTCCCCCACCACGTTAGTAATAATTTGGAAGTGAATTTCACATTGTGGTGGTTTGCTCGGTTCAAAGTGTTCATACCCCAGTAAATGTGAAGTTCATTTCCTATATATTCGTATATTTGAAGTTTGAGGGATGCCAATTTTACTGTGACGCACATTTTAGACGATTTACGTTGCCGGTTACATTGGCATGCAGTGACCCAATAGCGGACATATTTTTCACACTTTCGCAAAACAAAGTTGTTCCAACTCCGTAAATTAAACACACAACTCATTGTTCATCAACGAGAGCTACTTTTATTGTTAGAACATCAGAATGACTTTCTTCTTTTTTTCACCCGACCTTCACCTCATAGTTGCTTCATGTACAACATATGTTGACGTGTGACATCACAACCGGTGATAAACTTTTACAAAAGGGTGTGTCCGCTGACATCAGTATGTGGGATTGTACTTGGGAACTTTCGTACATACATAAATGTGGCACTCTTTCCACACCTCGTTTTCACATCTTATTTATTTCGTTTGAATTTCTTATGGTGACAAAGGCCATTTATCATTTGATTCTAAAATGAGGAATTCAGGGATGTATGTATCGCAGCTCAGTTTGAAAATACGTGATATAACAGTCGTCTCATAACCGGCATACGCGAACTTGATTTTGTAAACTGTGTCCAATATGGCGGAATGTTACTTCGGCGTTCGTGTTTGCGTAATTTCCAAAATGTTCTAAACGATTGTTGGGTTATCGGCGACGTTTCACAATGGTCATTGGTGATTTGATAATATATAAAAAACATACACGCGAGATCACCGATATGCTATTTTTGAAATTCAATTCTCCGAGTAAATATCCAATATTTTGATTTCAAAACATGGTGAAATGGTGAGATTTACGATGTTCCGAATTTACAGAGGCCATTTTCAGAAATTTTCATTGCTTAAAATGACATTGGATGATATCACAGAACAGGGAATTTCCCACGGAATTGAAAACCTCACAGAGTATTTGTGTGATTATGGATTTGAATTGTTCCACTCGGGGATTCCCCGTGAAAAGTAGCTCGTGTCAACGTCAAAAGGTATATTTAATACTTTGTAAACGTCACTTTTTTAAGTTTGTTGAAAAATGAACGAGTCACGTGAACGAGTCAAACCAATTAAATCTTCGGACATCCCTTAAACTTCAAAATAAGAATTTATATTATAATATACCAAATGAAATGCGATATTTTTGGGCTGGCGTGTAATGGGAATATATTCTACATAGTAGATGAGAGGGATGGGGTAGGGTCCGTGCCGAATATGGTCAGAACCATAGATGATGGCCTTATGTACCCGCTTTCATCATGGAATCAGAAAACAGTTTGAACGTACATTGAGGAGTTCGTGTTATTCTCGTTGCTTCGAGTTTTTTCTCGTGACTCGAAATAACGAGAAAATAATTGAAATAACGATAAAAAAAATCGAAGTAACGAAAAAGCGCTCGAAATACCCAGGTGCCATCATTAGTCTTTCATAATTTTCTTGTGCTTCTGCATACAAGATGTAAACTTGCTAGATTTTCAAATCCGTTATAACACTGACATCTTGGGGATGGGCACTGTTGGGCCTCATCAGGGAAAAGTACTGCTCAGTCTACTGATTCCATGGTAAAGTGTTTCCATGGTTATTGTCTATAGTGACTTCAAACAGTCTGTTATTCACACGCTGATTGACAATAGAAAAGGGACTATCACCTCTGCGCGTATATTATACTGGTTGCCTGACACCTACCTGGCTTAGGTCAGACACTGTTGACGAAGTCACTGATTATGCTGTTGAAACTGTCCTTAATGTCGGTAATACTGCTGCTAAGAGCTTGGTTGGTCTCGGGAGCAAGGTTTTTCACATCGTCAATGAACTTGTTAACTTTACCAAATGCATCAATGAATTTGAAGGCGGCGCCCAGCTTAGTGTTACTAGTCGCCTGACTGAGAAAGTCCAGGACACCACGCCGGCCTAGGAATACACAAACAACGTCGCCAGTTGATAAGAAAGAAAGATCAACCCTGCACATACATACAATGTGTGGAGTTTTAACGGGAAACTACTGTAATTTCATAGGATGTATTCGAACTACAGGTCAGCTTGTACTGTGTAAATATTAATCAGCAATGACAATTTAGGGTTATTTTATACATAAATAATTCATACTTCTCGAATCAAACACATAGCAATCAACATAAATATCAGCATTGTTTACCACAATATGAATGATTCGAACTGTGTAATTATTAATCAGAAATGACGGTTCAGGATTTGATTCCAAGTCAAATACATTTCTTGCTTCTGGAATGAAACACAGGAGTGCAATAAAAGTATCTTCAGGTGTATTCTCAATATAACCTAAATGCCGTTTACCAGTATAAAAGGATGTACATTTATAGAGGCCTGTCTCTGTTTAGTTGACCATAACAAGAATGAAAATCAACTTAGGCCAATTAATGTGTGAAAACAAACCTCAATTAAAAACGTTCTTCGTCATGTTTGTTGCCAAGCGTTTCAAACCGAATAGCCCTCTTTTCGTGAAAAATCAATTTTAGACAACGTGTGCTCCTTAACTGGGCACTTACCATCACTGTGATCTCACAAGAAATATTCAGTCAACAGAACAGTTTCAGAAAAGATACAAACTAAATAATTTACTTTTCTGAGCCCCACCACTCATGAGCGAGCTGGTGATTTCACTGATGATGCCGTTCATGCTGCCCTTAATGTCGCTGATGCTGCTGTTCAAGGCCTTGTGTGCATCTGGGGCAAGATTCTTCAGATCATCTATGAACTGGCTGACTTTGCCAAAAGCATTGATGACTTTGAAAGCTGTTCCGAGCTCGGTACCATTGGTAGCACCAGACAGGAAGTCCATCAGACCACGACGACCTGTGGCGATGATTAATGGACTTTTAAATATTGATTAATTTGCCTGTTTCTACATATGTTTTGCCGAAAACAAACCTAATTTTGAAATGTATGCAGTATCATCATGTACATTCAGACGCTTCTGCAACCAGTAAAATCGTTCTGATTAGAACAATTCCGTATCAACGAATCACTGGTAAGTAGTGCCGTCCCTTGTTCTACATATATTAAGCTTCCCAACAGAAAACATATAGATCGGGTTTATTTTTAGATTAACGGCGCTCGTACTTATGAGGTTCCCTTGTATTTCCGTGCATAATATCTATCCAATAATAAATATCAGCATTGTTTACCACAATATGAATGATTTGTACTGTGTAATTATTAATCAGCAATGACGGTTCAGGATTTGATTCCAAGTCATATACATATCTTGCTTCTGGAATGAAACATAGGAATGCAATAAAAGTATGTTCAGGTGTATTCTCAATATAACCTAAATGCCGTTGACCAGTATAAAAGGATGTACATTTATAGAGGCCTGTCTCTGTTTAGTTGACCATAACAAAAATGAAAATCAACTTAGGCCAATTAATGTGTGAAAACAAACCTCAATTAAAAACGTTCTTCATCATGTGTGTTGCCAAGCGTTTCAAACCGAATAGCCCTCTTTTCGTGAAAAATCAATTTTAGACTTCGTGTGCTCCTTAACTGGGCACTTACCATCACTGTGATCTCACAGGAAATATTCAGTCAACAGGTCAGTTTCAGAAAAGATACAAACTAAATAATTTACTTTTCTGAGCCCCACCACTCATGAGCGAGCTGGTGATTTCACTGATGATGCCGTTCATGCTGCCCTTAATGTCGCTGATGCTGCTGTTCAAGGCCTTGTGTGCATCTGGGGCAAGATTCTTCAGATCATCTATGAACTGGCTGACTTTGCCAAAAGCATTGATGACTTTGAAAGCTGTTCCGAGCTCGGTACCATTGGTGGCACCAGACAGGAGGTCCATCAGACCACGACGACCTGTGGCGATGATTAATGGACTTTTAAATATTGATTAATTTGCCTGTTTCTACATATGTTTTGCCGAAAACAAAACTAATTTTGAAATGTATGCAGTATCATCATGTACATTCAGACGGTCCTGCAACAAGTAAGATCGTTCTGATAGAACAATTCCGTATCAACGAATCACTGGTAAGTAGTGCCGTCCCTTGTTCTACATATATTAAGCTTCCCAACAGAAAACATATAAATCGCGGGCTTTTTTCCAGATGAACGGGGCTCGTCCTTATGAGGTTCCATTGTATTTCCATGCATAATATCCATCCAATAATAAATATCAGCATTGTTTACCACAATATGAATGATTTGTACTGTGTAAATATTAATCAGCAATGACGGTTCAGGATTTGATTCCAAGTCATATACATATCTTGCTTCTGGAATGAAACACAGGAATGCAATAAAAGTATGTTCAGGTGTATTCTCAATATAACCTAAATGCCGTTTACCAGTATAAAAGGATGTACATTTATAGAGGCCTGTCTCTGTTTAGTTGACCATAACAAGAATGAAAATCAACTTAGGCCAATTAAAGTGTGAAAACAAACCTCAATTAAAAACGTTCTTCGTCATGTGTGTTGCCAAGCGTTTCAAACCGAATAGCCCTCTTTTCGTGGAAAAATCAATTTTAGACAACGTGTGCTCCTTAACCGGGCACTTACCATCACTGTGATCTCACAGGAAATATTCAGTCAACAGGTCAGTTTCAGAAAAGATACAAACTAAATAATTTACTTTTCTGAGCCCCACCACTCATGAGCGAGCTGGTGATTTCACTGATGATGCCGTTCATGCTGCCCTTAATGTCGCTGATGCTGCTGTTCAAGGCCTTGTGTGCATCTGGGGCAAGATTCTTCAGATCATCTATGAACTGGCTGACTTTGCCAAAAGCATTGATAACTTTGAAAGCTGTTCCGAGCTCGGTACCATTGGTGGCACCAGACAGGAAGTCCATCAGACCACGACGACCTGTGTCGATGATTAATGGACTTTTAAATATTTATTAATTTGCCTGTTTCTACAAATGTTTTGCCGAAAACAAAACTAATTTTGAAATGTATGCAGTATCATCATGTACATTCAGACGCTTCTGCAACCAGTAAAATCGTTCTGATTAGAACAATTCCGTATAAACGAATCACTGGTAAGTAGTGCCGTCCCTTGTTCTACATATATTAAGGTTCCCAACAGAAAACATAGACCGCGTTTTTTTTAGATTAACGGCGCTCGTACTTATGAGGTTCCATTGTATTTCCGTGCATAATATCCACCCAATAATAAATATCAGCATTGTTTACCACAATATGAATGATTTGTACTGTGTAATTATTAATCAGCAATGACGGTTCAGGATTTGATTCCAAGTCATATACATTTCTTGCTTCTGGAATGAAACATAGGAATGCAATAAAAGTATCTTCAGGTGTATTCTCAATATAACCTAAATGCCGTTTACCAGTATAAAAGGATGTACATTTATAGAGGCCTGTCTCTGTTTAGTTGACCATAACAAGAATGAAAATCAACTTAGGCCCATTAATGTGTGAAAACAAACCTCAATTAAAAACGTTCTTCGTCATGTGTGTTGCCAAGCGTTTCAAACCGAAAAGCCCTCTTTTCGTGAAAAATCAATTTTAGACAACGTGTGCTCCTTAACTGGGCACTTACCATCACTGTGATCTCACAAGAAATATTCAGTCAACAGGTCAGTTTCAGAAAAGTACAATATAAATAATTTACTTTTCTGAGCCCCACCACTCATGAGCGAGCTGGTGATTTCACTGATGATGCCGTTCATGCTGCCCTTAATGTCGCTGATGCTGCTGTTCAAGGCCTTGTGTGCATCTGGGGCAAGATTCTTCAGATCATCTATGAACTGGCTGACTTTGCCAAAAGCATTGATGACTTTGAAAGCTGTTCCGAGCTCGGTACCATTGGTGGCACCAGACAGGAAGTCCATCAGACCACGACGACCTGTGGCGATGATTAATGGACTTTTAAATAATTATTAATTTGCCTGTTTCTACATATGTTTTGCCGAAAACAAACCTAATTTTGAAATGTATGCAGTATCATCATGTACATTCAGACGCTTCTGCAACCAGTAAAATCGTTCTGATTAGAACAATTCCGTATAAACGAATCACTGGTAAGTAGTGCCGTCCCTTGTTCTACATATGTTAAGGTTCCCAACAGAAAACATAGACCGCGTTTTTTTTAGATTAACGGGGCTCGTACTTATGAGGTTCCATTGTATTTCCGTGCATAATATCCACCCAATAATAAATATCAGCATTGTTTACCACAATATGAATGATTTGTACTGTGTAATTATTAATCAGCAATGACGGTTCAGGATTTGATTCCAAGTCATATACATTTCTTGCTTCTGGAATGAAACATAGGAATGCAATAAAAGTATCTTCAGGTGTATTCTCAATATAACCTAAGTGCCGTTTACCAGTATAAAAGGATGTACATTTATAGAGGCCTGTCTCTGTTTAGTTGACCATAACAAGAATGAAAATCAACTTAGGCCCATTAATGTGTGAAAACAAACCTCAATTAAAAACGTTCTTCGTCATGTGTGTTGCTAAGCGTTTCAAACCGAAAAGCCCTCTTTTCGTGAAAAATCAATTTTAGACAACGTGTGCTCCTTAACTGGGCACTTACCATCACTGTGATCTCACAAGAAATATTCAGTCAACAGGTCAGTTTCAGAAAAGTACAATATAAATAATTTACTTTTCTGAGCCCCACCACTCATGAGCGAGCTGGTGATTTCACTGATGATGCCGTTCATGCTGCCCTTAATGTCGCTGATGCTGCTGTTCAAGGCCTTGTGTGCATCTGGGGCAAGATTCTTCAGATCATCTATGAACTGGCTGACTTTGCCAAAAGCATTGATGACTTTGAAAGCTGTTCCGAGCTCGGTACCATTGGTGGCACCAGACAGGAAGTCCATCAGACCACGACGACCTGTGGCGATGATTAATGGACTTTTAAATAATTATTAATTTGCCTGTTTCTACATATGTTTTGCCGAAAACAAACCTAATTTTGAAATGTATGCAGTATCATCATGTACATTCAGACGCTTCTGCAACCAGTAAAATCGTTCTGATTAGAACAATTCCGTATAAACGAATCACTGGTAAGTAGTGCCGTCCCTTGTTCTACATATGTTAAGGTTCCCAACAGAAAACATAGACCGCGTTTTTTTTAGATTAACGGGGCTCGTACTTATGAGGTTCCATTGTATTTCCGTGCATAATATCCACCCAATAATAAATATCAGCATTGTTTACCACAATATGAATGATTTGTACTGTGTAATTATTAATCAGCAATGACGGTTCAGGATTTGATTCCAAGTCATATACATTTCTTGCTTCTGGAATGAAACACAGGAATGCAATAAAAGTATGTTCAGGTGTATTCTCAATATAACCTAAATGCCGTTTACCAGTATAAAAGGATGTACATTTATAGAGGCCTGTCTCTGTTTAGTTGACCATAACAAGAATGAAAATCAACTTAGGCCCATTAATGTGTGAAAACAAACCTCAATTAAAAACGTTCTTCGTCATGTGTGTTGCCAAGCGTTTCAAACCGAATAGCCCTCTTTTCGTGAAAAATCAATTTTAGACAACGTGTGCTCCTTAACCGGGCACTTACCATCACTGTGATCTCACAAGAAATATTCAGTCAACAGGTCAGTTTCAGAAAAGTACAAACTAAATAATTTACTTTTCTGAGCCCCACCACTCATGAGCGAGCTGGTGATTTCACTGATGATGCCGTTCATGCTGCCCTTAATGTCGCTGATGCTGCTGTTCAAGGCCTTGTGTGCATCTGGGGCAAGATTCTTCAGATCATCTATGAACTGGCTGACTTTGCCAAAAGCATTGATGACTTTGAAAGCTGTTCCGAGCTCGGTACCATTGGTGGCACTAGACAGGAAGTCCATCAGACCACGTCGACCTGTGTCGATGATTAATGGACTTTTAAATATTTATTAATTTGCCTGTTTCTACATATGTTTTGCCGAAAACAAACCTAATTTTGAAATACATGCAGTATCATCATGTACATTCAGACGGTTCTGCAACAAGTAAGATCGTTCTGATAGAACAATTCCGTATCAACGAATCACTGGTAAGTAGTGCCGTCCCTTGTTCTACATATATTAAGCTTCCCAACAGAAAACATAGATCGCTTTGTTTTTTAGATTAACGGGGCTCGTACTTATGAGGTTCCATTGTATTTCCGTGCATAATATCCACCCAATAATAAATATCAGCATTGTTTACCACAATATGAATGATTTGTACTGTGTAATTATTAATCAGCAATGACGGTTCAGGATTTGATTCCAAGTCATATACATTTCTTGCTTCTGGAATGAAACACAGGAATGCAATAAAAGTATGTTCAGGTGTATTCTCAATATAACCTAAATGCCGTTTACCAGTATAAAAGGATGTACATTTATAGAGGCCTGTCTCTGTTTAGTTGACCATAACAAGAATGAAAATCAACTTAGGCCAATTAATGTGTGAAAACAAACCTCAATTAAAAACGTTCTTCGTCGTGTGTGGTGCCAAGCGTTTCAAACCGAATAGCCCTCTTTTCGTGAAAAATCGATTTTAGACAACGTGTGCTCCTTAACTGGGCACTTACCATCACTGTGATCTCACAAGAAATATTCAGGCAACAGGTCAGTTTCAGAAAAGATACAATATAAATAATTTACTTGTCTGAGCCCCACCACTCATGAGCGAGCTGGTGATTTCACTGATGATGCCGTTCATGCTGCCCTTAATGTCGCTGATGCTGCTGTTCAAGGCCTTGTGTGCATCTGGGGCAAGATTCTTCAGATCATCTATGAACTGGCTGACTTTGCCAAAAGCATTGATGACTTTGAAAGCTGTTCCGAGCTCGGTACCATTGGTGGCACCAGACAGTAAGTCCATCAGACCACGGCGACCTGTGTCGATGATTAATGGACTTTTAAATATTTATTTAATTTGCCTGTTTCTACATATGTTTTGCCGAAAACAAACCTAATTTTGAAATGTATGCAGTATAATCATGTACATTCAGACGGTTCTGCAACAAGTAAGATCGTTCTGATAGAACAATTCCGTATCAACGAATCACTGGTAAGTAGTGCCGTCCCTTGTTCTACATATATTAAGCTTCCCAACAGAAAACATAGACCGCGTTTTTTTTAGATTAACGTGGCTCGTACTTATGAGGTTCCATTGTATTTCCGTGCATAATATCCACCCAATAATAAATATCAGCATTGTTTACCACAATATGAATAATTTGTACTGTGTAATTATTAATCAGCAATGACGGTTCAGGATTTGATTCCAAGTCATATACATATCTTGCTTCTGGAATGAAACACAGGAATGCAATAAAAGTATGTTCAGGTGTATTCTCAATATAACCTAAATGCCGTTTACCAGTATAAAAGGATGTACATTTATAGAGGCCTGTCTCTGTTTAGTTGACCATAACAAGAATGAAAATCAACTTAGGCCAATTAATGTGTGAAAACAAACCTCAATTAAAAACGTTCTTCGTCAAGTGTGTTGCCAAGCGTTTCAAACCGAAAAGCCCTCTTTTCGTGAAAAATCAATTTTAGACAACGTGTGCTCCTTAACCGGGCACTTACCATCACTGTGATCTCACAAGAAATATTCAGTCAACAGGTCAGTTTCAGAAAAGTACAAACTAAATAATTTACTTTTCTGAGCCCCACCACTCATGAGCGAGCTGGTGATTTCACTGATGATGCCGTTCATGCTGCCCTTAATGTCGCTGATGCTGCTGTTCAAGGCCTTGTGTGCATCTGGGGCAAGATTCTTCAGATCATCTATGAACTGGCTGACTTTGCCAAAAGCATTGATGACTTTGAAAGCTGTTCCGAGCTCGGTACCATTGGTGGCACCAGACAGGAAGTCCATCAGACCACGTCGACCTGTGTCGATGATTAATGGACTTTTAAATATTTATTAATTTGCCTGTTTCTACATATGTTTTGCCGAAAACAAACCTAATTTTGAAATACATGCAGTATCATCATGTACATTCAGACGGTTCTGCAACAAGTAAGATCGTTCTGATAGAACAATTCCGTATCAACGAATCACTGGTAAGTAGTGCCGTCCCTTGTTCTACATATATTAAGCTTCCCAACAGAAAACATAGATCGCTTTGTTTTTTAGATTAACGGGGCTCGTACTTATGAGGTTCCATTGTATTTCCGTGCATAATATCCACCCAATAATAAATATCAGCATTGTTTACCACAATATGAATGATTTGTACTGTGTAATTATTAATCAGCAATGACGGTTCAGGATTTGATTCCAAGTCATATACATTTCTTGCTTCTGGAATGAAACACAGGAATGCAATAAAAGTATGTTCAGGTGTATTCTCAATATAACCTAAATGCCGTTTACCAGTATAAAAGGATGTACATTTATAGAGGCCTGTCTCTGTTTAGTTGACCATAACAAGAATGAAAATCAACTTAGGCCAATTAATGTGTGAAAACAAACCTCAATTAAAAACGTTCTTCGTCGTGTGTGGTGCCAAGCGTTTCAAACCGAATAGCCCTCTTTTCGTGAAAAATCGATTTTAGACAACGTGTGCTCCTTAACTGGGCACTTACCATCACTGTGATCTCACAAGAAATATTCAGGCAACAGGTCAGTTTCAGAAAAGATACAATATAAATAATTTACTTGTCTGAGCCCCACCACTCATGAGCGAGCTGGTGATTTCACTGATGATGCCGTTCATGCTGCCCTTAATGTCGCTGATGCTGCTGTTCAAGGCCTTGTGTGCATCTGGGGCAAGATTCTTCAGATCATCTATGAACTGGCTGACTTTGCCAAAAGCATTGATGACTTTGAAAGCTGTTCCGAGCTCGGTACCATTGGTGGCACCAGACAGTAAGTCCATCAGACCACGGCGACCTGTGTCGATGATTAATGGACTTTTAAATATTTATTTAATTTGCCTGTTTCTACATATGTTTTGCCGAAAACAAACCTAATTTTGAAATGTATGCAGTATAATCATGTACATTCAGACGGTTCTGCAACAAGTAAGATCGTTCTGATAGAACAATTCCGTATCAACGAATCACTGGTAAGTAGTGCCGTCCCTTGTTCTACATATATTAAGCTTCCCAACAGAAAACATAGACCGCGTTTTTTTTAGATTAACGTGGCTCGTACTTATGAGGTTCCATTGTATTTCCGTGCATAATATCCACCCAATAATAAATATCAGCATTGTTTACCACAATATGAATAATTTGTACTGTGTAATTATTAATCAGCAATGACGGTTCAGGATTTGATTCCAAGTCATATACATATCTTGCTTCTGGAATGAAACACAGGAATGCAATAAAAGTATGTTCAGGTGTATTCTCAATATAACCTAAATGCCGTTTACCAGTATAAAAGGATGTACATTTATAGAGGCCTGTCTCTGTTTAGTTGACCATAACAAGAATGAAAATCAACTTAGGCCAATTAATGTGTGAAAACAAACCTCAATTAAAAACGTTCTTCGTCAAGTGTGTTGCCAAGCGTTTCAAACCGAAAAGCCCTCTTTTCGTGAAAAATCAATTTTAGACAACGTGTGCTCCTTAACCGGGCACTTACCATCACTGTGATCTCACAAGAAATATTCAGTCAACAGGTCAGTTTCAGAAAAGTACAATATAAATAATTTACTTTTCTGAGCCCCACCACTCATGAGCGAGCTGGTGATTTCACTGATGATGCCGTTCATGCTGCCCTTAATGTCGCTGATGCTGCTGTTCAAGGCCTTGTGTGCATCTGGGGCAAGATTCTTCAGATCATCTATGAACTGGCTGACTTTGCCAAAAGCATTGATGACTTTGAAAGCTGTTCCGAGCTCGGTACCATTGGTGGCACCAGACAGGAAGTCCATCAGACCACGTCGACCTGTGTCGATGATTAATGGACTTTTAAATATTTATTAATTTGCCTGTTTCTACATATGTTTTGCCGAAAACAAACCTAATTTTGAAATACATGCAGTATCATCATGTACATTCAGACGGTTCTGCAACAAGTAAGATCGTTCTGATAGAACAATTCCGTATCAACGAATCACTGGTAAGTAGTGCCGTCCCTTGTTCTACATATATTAAGCTTCCCAACAGAAAACATAGATCGCTTTGTTTTTTAGATTAACGTGGCTCGTGCTTATGAGGTTCCATTGTATTTCCGTGCATAATATCCACCCAATAATAAATATCAGCATTGTTTACCACAATATGAATGATTTGTACTGTGTAATTATTAATCAGCAATGACGGTTCAGGATTTGATTCCAAGTCATATACATTTCTTGCTTCTGGAATGAAACACAGGAATGCAATAAAAGTATGTTCAGGTGTATTCTCAATATAACCTAAATGCCGTTTACCAGTATAAAAGGATGTACATTTATAGAGGCCTGTCTCTGTTTAGTTGACCATAACAAGAATGAAAATCAACTTAGGCCAATTAATGTGTGAAAACAAACCTCAATTAAAAACGTTCTTCGTCGTGTGTGGTGCCAAGCGTTTCAAACCGAATAGCCCTCTTTTCGTGAAAAATCGATTTTAGACAACGTGTGCTCCTTAACTGGGCACTTACCATCACTGTGATCTCACAAGAAATATTCAGGCAACAGGTCAGTTTCAGAAAAGATACAATATAAATAATTTACTTGTCTGAGCCCCACCACTCATGAGCGAGCTGGTGATTTCACTGATGATGCCGTTCATGCTGCCCTTAATGTCGCTGATGCTGCTGTTCAAGGCCTTGTGTGCATCTGGGGCAAGATTCTTCAGATCATCTATGAACTGGCTGACTTTGCCAAAAGCATTGATGACTTTGAAAGCTGTTCCGAGCTCGGTACCATTGGTGGCACCAGACAGTAAGTCCATCAGACCACGACGACCTGTGTCGATGATTAATGGACTTTTAAATATTTATTAATTTGCCTGTTTCTACATATGTTTTGGCGAAAACAAACCTAATTTTGAAATGTATGCAGTATCATCATGTACATTCAGACGCTTCTGCAACAAATAAGATCGTTCTGATAGAACAATTCCGTATCAACGAATCACTGGTAAGTAGTGCCGTCCCTTGTTCTACATATATTAAGCTTCCCAACAGAAAACATAGACCGCGTTTTTTTTAGATTAACGGGGCTCGTACTTATGAGGTTCCATTGTATTTCCGTGCATAATATCCACCCAATAATAAATATCAGCATTGTTTACCACAATATGAATAATTTGTACTGTGTAATTATTAATCAGCAATGACGGTTCAGGATTTGATTCCAAGTCATATACATATCTTGCTTCTGGAATGAAACACAGGAATGCAATAAAAGTATGTTCAGGTGTATTCTCAATATAACCTAAATGCCGTTTACCAGTATAAAAGGATGTACATTTATAGAGGCCTGTCTCTGTTTAGTTGACCATAACAAGAATGAAAATCAACTTAGGCCAATTAATGTGTGAAAACAAACCTCAATTAAAAACGTTCTTCGTCAAGTGTGTTGCCAAGCGTTTCAAACCGAATAGTCCTCTTTTCGTGAAAAATCAATTTTAGACAACGTGTGCTCCTTAACCGGGCACTTACCATCACTGTGATCTCACAAGAAATATTCAGTCAACAGGTCAGTTTCAGAAAAGTACAATATAAATAATTTACTTTTCTGAGCCCCACCACTCATGAGCGAGCTGGTGATTTCACTGATGATGCCGTTCATGCTGCCCTTAATGTCGCTGATGCTGCTGTTCAAGGCCTTGTGTGCATCTGGGGCAAGATTCTTCAGATCATCTATGAACTGGCTGACTTTGCCAAAAGCATTGATGACTTTGAAAGCTGTTCCGAGCTCGGTACCATTGGTGGCACCAGACAGGAAGTCCATCAGACCACGTCGACCTGTGTCGATGATTAATGGACTTTTAAATATTTATTAATTTGCCTGTTTCTACATATGTTTTGCCGAAAACAAACCTAATTTTGAAATACATGCAGTATCATCATGTACATTCAGACGGTTCTGCAACAAGTAAGATCGTTCTGATAGAACAATTCCGTATCAACGAATGACTGGTAAGTAGTGCCGTCCCTTGTTCTACATATATTAAGCTTCCCAACAGAAAACATAGATCGCGGTTTTTTTTAGATTAACGGGGCTCGTACTTATGAGGTTCCATTGTATTTCCGTGCATAATATCCACCCAATAATAAATATCAGCATTGTTTACCACAATATGAATGATTCGAACTGTGTAATTATTAATCAGCAATGACGGTTCAGGATTTGATTCCAAGTCATATACATTTCTTGCTTCTGGAATGAAACACAGGAATGCAATAAAAGTATGTTCAGGTGTATTCTCAATATAACCTAAATGCTGTTTACCAGTATAAAAGGATGTACATTTATAGAGGCCTGTCTCTGTTTAGTTGACCATAACAAGAATGAAAATCAACTTAGGCCAATTAATGTGTGAAAACAAACCTCAATTAAAAACGTTCTTCGTCATGTGTGTTGCCAAGCGTTTCAAACCGAATAGCCCTCTTTTCGTGAAAAATCGATTTTAGACAACGTGTCCTCCTTAACTGGGCACTTACCATCACTGTGATCTCACAAGAAATATTCAGTCAACAGGTCAGTTTCAGAAAAGATACAAAATAATTAATTTACTTTTCTGAGCCCCACCACTCATGAGCGAGCTGGTGATTTCACTGATGATGCCGTTCATGCTGCCCTTAATGTCGCTGATGCTGCTGTTCAAGGCCTTATGTGCATCTGGGGCAAGATTCTTCAGATCATCTATGAACTGGCTGACTTTGCCAAAAGCATTGATGACTTTGAAAGCTGTTCCGAGCTCGGTACCATTGGTGGCACCAGACAGGAAGTCCATCAGACCACGACGACCTTTGTCGATGATTAATGGACTTTTAAATATTTATTAATTTGCCTGTTTCTACATATGTTTTGGCGAAAACAAACCTAATTTTGAAATGTATGCAGTATCATCATGTACATTCAGACGCTTCTGCAACAAATAAGATCGTTCTGATAGAACAATTCCGTATCAACGAATCACTGGTAAGTAGTGCCGTCCCTTGTTCTACATATATTAAGCTTCCCAACAGAAAACATAGATCGCGGGTTTTTTTAGCTTAACGTGGCTCGTACTTATGAGGTTCCATTGTATTTCCATGCATAATATCCATCTAATAATAAATATCAGCATTGTTTACCACAATATGAATGATTCGAACTGTGTAATTATTAATCAGCAATGACGGTTCAGGATTTGATTCCAAGTCATATACATTTCTTGCTTCTGGAATGAAACATAGGAATGCAATAAAAGTATCTTCAGGTGTATTCTCAATATAACCTAAATGCCGTTTACCAGTATAAAAGGATGTACATTTATAGAGGCCTGTCTCTGTTTAGTTGACCATAACAAGAATGAAAATCAACTTAGGCCAATTAATGTTTGAAAACAAACCTCAATTAAAAACGTTCTTCGTCAAGTGTGTTGCCAAGCGTTTCAAACCGAATAGCCCTCTTTTCGTGAAAAATCAATTTTAGACAACGTGTCCTCCTTAACTGGGCACTTACCATCACTGTGATCTCACAAGAAATATTCAGTCAACAGGTCAGTTTCAGAAAAGATACAAAATAATTAATTTACTTTTCTGAGCACCACCACTCATGAGCGAGCTGGTGATTTCACTGATGATGCCGTTCATGCTGCCCTTAATGTCGCTGATGCTGCTGTTCAAGGCCTTATGTGCATCTGGGGCAAGATTCTTCAGATCATCTATGAACTGGCTGACTTTGCCAAAAGCATTGATGACTTTGAAAGCTGTTCCGAGCTCGGTACCATTGGTGGCACCAGACAGGAAGTCCATCAGACCACGTCGACCTGTGTCGATGATTAATGGACTTTTAAATATTTATTAATTTGCCTGTTTCTACATATGTTTTGCCGAAAACAAACCTAATTTTGAAATGTATGCAGTATCATCATGTACATTCAGACGGTTCTGCAACAAATAAGATCGTTCTGATAGAACAATTCCGTATCAACGAATGACTGGTAAGTAGTGCCGTCCCTTGTTCTACATATATTAAGCTTCCCAACAGAAAACATAGATCGAGGTTTTTTTTTAGTTTAACGTGGCTCGTACTTATGAGGTTCCATTGTATTTCCATGCATAATATCCATCTAATAATATGTATCAGCATTGTTCACCACAATATGAATGATTCGAACTGTGTAATTATTAATCAGCAATGACGGTTCAGGATTTGATTCCAAGTCATATACATTTCTTGCTTCTGGAATGAAACATAGGAATGCAATAAAAGTATCTTCAGGTGTATTCTCAATATAACCTAAATGCTGTTTACCAGTATAAAAGGATGTACATTTATAGAGGCCTGTCTCTGTTAAGTTGACCATAACAAGAATGAAAATCAACTTAGGCCAATTAATGTGTGAAAACAAACCTCAATTAAAAACGTTCTTCGTCATGTGTGTTGCTAAGCGTTTCAAACCGAATAGCCCTCTTTTCGAGAAAAATCAATTTTAGACAACGTGTCCTCCTTAACTGGGCACTTACCATCACTGTGATCTCACAAGAAATATTCAGTCAACAGGTCAGTTTCAGAAAAGTACAATATAAATAATTTACTTTTCTGAGCCCCACCACTCATGAGCGAGCTGGTGATTTCACTGATGATGCCGTTCATGCTGCCCTTAATGTCGCTGATGCTGCTGTTCAAGGCCTTATGTGCATCTGGGGCAAGATTCTTCAGATCATCTATGAACTGGCTGACTTTGCCAAAAGCATTGATGACTTTGAAAGCTGTTCCGAGCTCGGTACCATTGGTGGCACCAGACAGGAAGTCCATCAGACCACGACGACCTGTGTCGATGATTAATGGACTTTTAAATATTTATTAATTTGCCTGTTTCTACATATGTTTTGCCGAAAACAAACCTAATTTTGAAATGTATGCAGTATAATCATGTACATTCAGACGGTTCTGCAACAAGTAAGATCGTTCTGATAGAACAATTCCGTATCAACGAATCACTGGTAAGTAGTGCCGTCCCTTGTTCTACATATATTAAGCTTCCCAACAGAAAACATAGATCGCGGTTTTTTTAGCTTAACGTGGCTCGTACTTATGAGGTTCCATTGTATTTCCGTGCATAATATCCACCCAATAATAAATATCAGCATTGTTTACCACAATATGAATAATTTGTACTGTGTAATTATTAATCAGCAATGACGGTTCAGGATTTGATTCCAAGTCATATACATATCTTGCTTCTGGAATGAAACACAGGAATGCAATAAAAGTATGTTCAGGTGTATTCTCAATATAACCTAAATGCTGTTTACCAGTATAAAAGGATGTACGTTTATAGAGGCCTGTCTCTGTTTAGTTGACCATAACAAGAATGAAAATCAACTTAGGCCAATTAATGTGTGAAAACAAACCTCAATTAAAAACGTTCTTCGTCAAGTGTGTTGCCAAGCGTTTCAAACCGAAAAGCCCTCTTTTCGTGAAAAATCAATTTTAGACAGCGTGTGCTCCTTAACTGGGCACTTACCATCACTGTGATCTCACAAGAAATATTCAGTCAACAGGTCAGTTTCAGAAAAGTACAATATAAATAATTTACTTTTCTGAGCCCCACCACTCATGAGCGAGCTGGTGATTTCACTGATGATGCCGTTCATGCTGCCCTTAATGTCGCTGATGCTGCTGTTCAAGGCCTTATGTGCATCTGGGGCAAGATTCTTCAGATCATCTATGAACTGGCTGACTTTGCCAAAAGCATTGATGACTTTGAAAGCTGTTCCGAGCTCGGTACCATTGGTGGCACCAGACAGGAAGTCCATCAGACCACGACGACCTTTGTCGATGATTAATGGACTTTTAAATATTTATTAATTTGCCTGTTTCTACATATGTTTTGGCGAAAACAAACCTAATTTTGAAATGTATGCAGTATCATCATGTACATTCAGACGCTTCTGCAACAAATAAGATCGTTCTGATAGAACAATTCCGTATCAACGAATCACTGGTAAGTAGTGCCGTCCCTTGTTCTACATATATTAAGCTTCCCAACAGAAAACATAGATCGCGGGTTTTTTTAGCTTAACGTGGCTCGTACTTATGAGGTTCCATTGTATTTCCATGCATAATATCCATCTAATAATAAATATCAGCATTGTTTACCACAATATGAATGATTCGAACTGTGTAATTATTAATCAGCAATGACGGTTCAGGATTTGATTCCAAGTCATATACATTTCTTGCTTCTGGAATGAAACATAGGAATGCAATAAAAGTATCTTCAGGTGTATTCTCAATATAACCTAAATGCCGTTTACCAGTATAAAAGGATGTACATTTATAGAGGCCTGTCTCTGTTTAGTTGACCATAACAAGAATGAAAATCAACTTAGGCCAATTAATGTTTGAAAACAAACCTCAATTAAAAACGTTCTTCGTCAAGTGTGTTGCCAAGCGTTTCAAACCGAATAGCCCTCTTTTCGTGAAAAATCAATTTTAGACAACGTGTCCTCCTTAACTGGGCACTTACCATCACTGTGATCTCACAAGAAATATTCAGTCAACAGGTCAGTTTCAGAAAAGATACAAAATAATTAATTTACTTTTCTGAGCACCACCACTCATGAGCGAGCTGGTGATTTCACTGATGATGCCGTTCATGCTGCCCTTAATGTCGCTGATGCTGCTGTTCAAGGCCTTATGTGCATCTGGGGCAAGATTCTTCAGATCATCTATGAACTGGCTGACTTTGCCAAAAGCATTGATGACTTTGAAAGCTGTTCCGAGCTCGGTACCATTGGTGGCACCAGACAGGAAGTCCATCAGACCACGTCGACCTGTGTCGATGATTAATGGACTTTTAAATATTTATTAATTTGCCTGTTTCTACATATGTTTTGCCGAAAACAAACCTAATTTTGAAATGTATGCAGTATCATCATGTACATTCAGACGGTTCTGCAACAAATAAGATCGTTCTGATAGAACAATTCCGTATCAACGAATGACTGGTAAGTAGTGCCGTCCCTTGTTCTACATATATTAAGCTTCCCAACAGAAAACATAGATCGAGGTTTTTTTTTAGTTTAACGTGGCTCGTACTTATGAGGTTCCATTGTATTTCCATGCATAATATCCATCTAATAATATGTATCAGCATTGTTCACCACAATATGAATGATTCGAACTGTGTAATTATTAATCAGCAATGACGGTTCAGGATTTGATTCCAAGTCATATACATTTCTTGCTTCTGGAATGAAACATAGGAATGCAATAAAAGTATCTTCAGGTGTATTCTCAATATAACCTAAATGCTGTTTACCAGTATAAAAGGATGTACATTTATAGAGGCCTGTCTCTGTTAAGTTGACCATAACAAGAATGAAAATCAACTTAGGCCAATTAATGTGTGAAAACAAACCTCAATTAAAAACGTTCTTCGTCATGTGTGTTGCTAAGCGTTTCAAACCGAATAGCCCTCTTTTCGAGAAAAATCAATTTTAGACAACGTGTCCTCCTTAACTGGGCACTTACCATCACTGTGATCTCACAAGAAATATTCAGTCAACAGGTCAGTTTCAGAAAAGTACAATATAAATAATTTACTTTTCTGAGCCCCACCACTCATGAGCGAGCTGGTGATTTCACTGATGATGCCGTTCATGCTGCCCTTAATGTCGCTGATGCTGCTGTTCAAGGCCTTATGTGCATCTGGGGCAAGATTCTTCAGATCATCTATGAACTGGCTGACTTTGCCAAAAGCATTGATGACTTTGAAAGCTGTTCCGAGCTCGGTACCATTGGTGGCACCAGACAGGAAGTCCATCAGACCACGACGACCTGTGTCGATGATTAATGGACTTTTAAATATTTATTAATTTGCCTGTTTCTACATATGTTTTGCCGAAAACAAACCTAATTTTGAAATGTATGCAGTATAATCATGTACATTCAGACGGTTCTGCAACAAGTAAGATCGTTCTGATAGAACAATTCCGTATCAACGAATCACTGGTAAGTAGTGCCGTCCCTTGTTCTACATATATTAAGCTTCCCAACAGAAAACATAGATCGCGGTTTTTTTAGCTTAACGTGGCTCGTACTTATGAGGTTCCATTGTATTTCCGTGCATAATATCCACCCAATAATAAATATCAGCATTGTTTACCACAATATGAATAATTTGTACTGTGTAATTATTAATCAGCAATGACGGTTCAGGATTTGATTCCAAGTCATATACATATCTTGCTTCTGGAATGAAACACAGGAATGCAATAAAAGTATGTTCAGGTGTATTCTCAATATAACCTAAATGCTGTTTACCAGTATAAAAGGATGTACGTTTATAGAGGCCTGTCTCTGTTTAGTTGACCATAACAAGAATGAAAATCAACTTATGCCAATTAATGTGTGAAAACAAACCTCAATTAAAAACGTTCTTCGTCAAGTGTGTTGCCAAGCGTTTCAAACCGAAAAGCCCTCTTTTCGTGAAAAATCAATTTTAGACAGCGTGTGCTCCTTAACTGGGCACTTACCATCACTGTGATCTCACAAGAAATATTCAGTCAACAGGTCAGTTTCAGAAAAGTACAATATAAATAATTTACTTTTCTGAGCCCCACCACTCATGAGCGAGCTGGTGATTTCACTGATGATGCCGTTCATGCTGCCCTTAATGTCGCTGATGCTGCTGTTCAAGGCCTTGTGTGCATCTGGGGCAAGATTCTTCAGATCATCTATGAACTGGCTGACTTTGCCAAAAGCATTGATGACTTTGAAAGCTGTTCCGAGCTCGGTACCATTGGTGGCACCAGACAGGAAGTCCATCAGACCACGTCGACCTGTGGCGATGATTAATGGACTTTTAAATATTTATTAATTTGCCTGTTTCTACATATGTTTTGCCGAAAACAAACCTAATTTTGAAATGTATGCAGTATCATCATGTACATTCAGACGGTTCTGCAACAAGTAAGATCGTTCTGATAGAACAATTCCGTATCAACGAATGACTGGTAAGTAGTGCCGTCCCTTGTTCTACATATATTAAGCTTCCCAACAGAAAACATAGATCGCGGTTTTTTTTAGATTAACGGGGCTCGTACTTATGAGGTTCCATTGTATTTCCGTGCATAATATCCACCCAATAATAAATATCAGCATTGTTTACCACAATATGAATGATTCGAACTGTGTAATTATTAATCAGCAATGACGGTTCAGGATTTGATTCCAAGTCATATACATTTCTTGCTTCTGGAATGAAACACAGGAATGCAATAAAAGTATGTTCAGGTGTATTCTCAATATAACCTAAATGCTGTTTACCAGTATAAAAGGATGTACATTTATAGAGGCCTGTCTCTGTTTAGTTGACCATAACAAGAATGAAAATCAACTTAGGCCAATTAATGTGTGAAAACAAACCTCAATTAAAAACGTTCTTCGTCATGTGTGTTGCCAAGCGTTTCAAACCGAATAGCCCTCTTTTCGTGAAAAATCAATTTTAGACAACGTGTGCTCCTTAACTGGGCACTTACCATCACTGTGATCTCACAAGAAATATTCAGTCAACAGGTCAGTTTCAGAAAAGATACAAAATAATTAATTTACTTTTCTGAGCCCCACCACTCATGAGCGAGCTGGTGATTTCACTGATGATGCCGTTCATGCTGCCCTTAATGTCGCTGATGCTGCTGTTCAAGGCCTTATGTGCATCTGGGGCAAGATTCTTCAGATCATCTATGAACTGGCTGACTTTGCCAAAAGCATTGATGACTTTGAAAGCTGTTCCGAGCTCGGTACCATTGGTGGCACCAGACAGTAAGTCCATCAGACCACGACGACCTGTGTCGATGATTAATGGACTTTTAAATATTTATTAATTTGCCTGTTTCTACATATGTTTTTCCGAAAACAAACCTAATTTTGAAATGTATGCAGTATCATCATGTACATTCAGACGGTTCTGCAACAAATAAGATCGTTCTGATAGAACAATTCCGTATCAACGAATGACTGGTAAGTAGTGCCGTCCCTTGTTCTACATATATTAAGCTTCCCAACAGAAAACATAGATCGCGGGGTTTTTTTAGTTTAACGTGGCTCGTACTTATGAGGTTCCATTGTATTTCCATGCATAATATCCATCTAATAATAAATATCAGCATTGTTTACCACAATATGAATGATTCGAACTGTGTAATTATTAATCAGCAATGACGGTTCAGGATTTGATTCCAAGTCATATACATTTCTTGCTTCTGGAATGAAACATAGGAATGCAATAAAAGTATGTTCAGGTGTATTCTCAATATAACCTAAATCCTGTTTACCAGTATAAAAGGATGTACATTTATAGAGGCCTGTCTCTGTTAAGTTGACCATAACAAGAATGAAAATCAACTTAGGCCAATTAATGTGTGAAAACAAACCTCAATTAAAAACGTTCTTCGTCATGTGTGTTGCTAAGCGTTTCAAACCGAATAGCCCTCTTTTCGTGAAAAATCAATTTTAGACAACGTGTGCTCCTTAACTGGGCACTTACCATCACTGTGATCTCACAAGAAATATTCAGTCAACAGGTCAGTTTCAGAAAAGATACAAAATAATTAATTTACTTTTCTGAGCACCACCACTCATGAGCGAGCTGGTGATTTCACTGATGATGCCGTTAATGCTGCCCTTAATGTCACTGATGCTGCTGTTCAAGGCCTTATGTGCATCTGGGGCAAGATTCTTCAGATCATCTATGAACTGGCTGACTTTGCCAAAAGCATTGATGACTTTGAAAGCTGTTCCGAGCTCGGTACCATTGGTAGCACCAGACAGGAAGTCCATCAGACCACGACGACCTGTGTCGATGATTAATGGACTTTTAAATATTTATTAATTTGCCTGTTTCTACATATGTTTTGCCGAAAACAAACCTAATTTTGAAATGTATGCAGTATCATCATGTACATTCAGACGGTTCTGCAACAAATAAGATCGTTCTGATAGAACAATTCCGTATTAACGAATCACTGGTAAGTAGTGCCGTCCCTTGTTCTACATATATTAAGCTTCCCAACAGAAAACAAATAGATCGCGGGCCTTTTTCAGATGAACGGGGCTCGTCCTTATGAGGTTCCATTGTATATTAGTGTCTTCAGGTGTATTCACAATACGACCAAAATACCGTTTACAAGTATAAAAGGATGTACATTTATAGAGGCCTGACTCTTAATTGACCATAACAAGAATGAAAATCAACTTCGGCCAATTATTGTGTGAAAACAAACCTCAATTAAAACATGAAACACAGGAATGCAATAAACGTATCTACATGACTCTCTACATGGTGCTCCTTCAGGACTCGCTAAATGGTGCTCCTACAGGACTCGCTGATTGGTACTCCTACGGGACTCGCTAAATGGTGCTCCTACAGGACTCGCTAAATGGTGCTCCTACAGGACTCTCAACATGTCGTGCCTTCCGAACTTCAGGGTGTGCCTGCATGACTCTCCATAGGGTGTGTGCCTACATGACTCTCTACATGTCGTGCCTTCAGATCTCATTACACCGTGTGCCTACAGGACTCCCCATATGATCTGCCTACAGGACTCTCTACAGGGTGTGCCTACATGACTGTCTACAGTGTGTGCATACAGAACTCTCTACAGGGTGTGCCTACAGGACTCTCTTCAGAGTGTGCCTACAGGACTCTCTACAGATTATGCCTACAGAACACTCTACAGGGTGTGCCTACAGGACTCTCTTCAGAGTGTGCCTACAGGACTCTCTACAGATTATGCCTACAGAACACTCTTCAGAGTGTGCCTACAGGACTCTCTTCAGAATGTGCCTAAAGGACTCTCTACAGAGTGTGCCCAAAGGACTCTCCACATGCTGTGCCTACAGGACTCTCTTCAGAATGTGCCTAAAGGACTCTCTACATAGTGTGCCTACAGAACTCTCTGCATGGTGTGCCCACAGGACTCTCTGCATGGTGTTCCTACAGGACTTTCTTAAGAGTGTGCCAACAGGACTCTCTTCAGAGTGTGCCTACAGGACTCTCCACAGATTGTGCCCACAGAACTATCTACAGAATGTGCCTAAAGGACTCTGAACAGAGTGTGCCTACAGGACTCTCTACATGTTGTGCCTACAGGACTCTCTTCAAAGTGTGCCTACAGGACACTCTACAGATTGTGCCCACAGAACTATCTTAAGAGTGTGCCAACAGGACTCTCTTCAGAGTGTGCCTACAGGACTCTCTACATTGTGTGCCAACAGGACTCTCTTCAGAGTGTGCCTACAGGACCCTCTACAGGGTGTGCCTACAGGACTGTCTACAGTGTGTGCATACAGGACTCTCTACAGATTATGCCTACAGAACACTCTTCAGAGTGTGCCTACAGGACTCTCTTCAGAATGTGCCTAAAGGACTCTCTACAGAGTGTGCCCAAAGGACTCTCCACATGCTGTGCCTACAGGACTCTCTTCAGAGTGTGCCAACAGGACTCTCTTCAGAGTGTACCTACAGATCTCTCTACATAGTGTGCCAACAGGACTCTCTTCAGAGTGTGCCTACAGGACTCTCTACATAGTGTGCCAACAGGAATCTCTTGAGAGTGTGCCTACAGGACTCTCCACATAGTGTGCCTACAGGACTCTCCACATGGTGTTCCTACAGGACTCTCTTCAGAGTGTGCCAACAAGACTCTATTCAGAGTGTTCCTACAGGACTCTCTACAGATTGTGCCCACAGAATACTCTACAGGGTGTGCCTTCAGGACTCTCTACAGGGTGTGCCTACAGGACTCTCTACATGTCGTGCCTTCAGAGCTATTAACACCGTGTGCCTACAGGACCCTCTACAGGGTGTGCCTACAGGACTGTCTACAGTGTGTGCATACAGGTCTCTCTACAGAGTGTGCCTAAAGAACACTCTACAGAGTGTGCCTACAGGACTCTCTTCAGAATGTGCCTAAAGGACTCTCTACATAGTGTGCCTACAGAACTCTCTGCATGGTGTGCCCACAGGACTCTCTGCATGGTGTTCCTACAGGACTTTCTTAAGAGTGTGCCAACAGAACTCTCTTCAGAGTGTGCCTACAGGACTCTCTTCAGAATGTGCCTAAAGGACTCTGAACAGAGTGTGCCTACAGGACTCTCTACATGGTGTGCCTACAGGACTCTCTTCAGAGTGTGCCTACAGGACACTCTACAGATTGTGCCCACAGAACTATCTTAAGAGTGTGCCAACAGGACTCTCTTCAGAGTGTGCCTACAGGACTTTCTACAGATTGTGCCCACATAACTATCAACAGAGTGTGCCTACAGGACTCTCTTCAGAATGTGCCTAAAGGACTCTGAACAGAGTGTGCCTACAGGACTCTCTACATGGTGTGCCTACAGGACTCTCTTCAGAGTGTGCCAACAGGACTCTCTTCAGAGTGTGCCTACAGGTTTCACTTCAGAGTGTTCCTACAGGACTCTCTACAGATTGTGCCCACAGAATACTCTACAGGGTGTGCCTTCAGGACTCTCTACAGGATGTGCCCACATGACTCTACATGGTGTTTCTACAGGACTCTGTACATGGTGTGCCTACAGATTTCTCTTAAGAGTTTGCCTACAGTACTCCCTTCACGGTGTGCCTACAGGACTCCCTTCATGGTGTGCCTACAGGACTCTCTACAGGGTGTGCCTACAGGACTCTCTTCAGAGTGTGCCTACAAGACGCTCTATAGAGTGTGCATTCAGGACTGTCTACATGGTGTGCCTTCATGACTCTGTACAGGGTGTCCCTCCTGGACTCTCTTCAGAGTGTGCCAACAGGACTCGCTTTAGGGTGTGCCTACAGCACACTGTGCATTGTGTTTCTACAGGACTCTCTACAAGGTGTCCCTACAGGACTCTCCATTGGATGTTCCCACAGGGCTGGCTACAGGGTGTGCCTACGTGACTCTCTACAGAGTGTGGCTACAGGACTCTCTACAGATTGTGCCTACAGAACACTCTACAGAGTGTGCCTACAGGACTCTCTTCAGAATGTGCCTAAAGGACTCTCTACATTGTGTGCCTACAGGACTCTCTTCAGAGTGTGCCTACAGGACACTCTACAGATTGTGCCCACAGAACTATCTTAAGAGTGTGCCAACAGGACTCTCTTCAGAGTGTGCCTACAGGACTTTCTACAGATTGTGCCCACATAACTATCTACAGAGTGTGCCTACAGGACTCTCTTCAGAATGTGCCTAAAGGACTCTGAACAGAGTGTGCCTACAGGACTCTCTACATGGTGTGCCTACAGGACTCTCTTCAGAGTGTGCCTACAGGTTTCACTTCAGAGTGTTCCTACAGGACTCTCTACAGATTGTGCCCACAGAATACTCTACAGGGTGTGCCTTCAGGACTCTCTACAGGATGTGCCCACATGACTCTACATGGTGTTTCTACAGGACTCTGTACATGGTGTGCCTACAGATTTCTCTTAAGAGTTTGCCTACAGTACTCCCTTCACGGTGTGCCTACAGGACTCCCTTCATGGTGTGCCTACAGGACTCTCTACAGGGTGTGCCTACAGGACTCTCTTCAGAGTGTGCCTACAAGACGCTCTATAGAGTGTGCATTCAGGACTGTCTACATGGTGTGCCTTCATGACTCTGTACAGGGTGTCCCTCCTGGACTCTCTTCAGAGTGTGCCAACAGGACTCGCTTTAGGGTGTGCCTACAGCACACTGTGCATTGTGTTTCTACAGGACTCTCTACAAGGTGTCCCTACTGGACTCTCCATTGGATGTTCCCACAGGGCTGGCTACAGGGTGTGCCTACGTGACTCTCTACAGAGTGTGGCTACAGGACTCTCTACAGATTGTGCCTACAGAACACTCTACAGAGTGTGCCTACAGGACTCTCTTCAGAATGTGCCTAAAGGACTCTCTACAGAGTGTGCCTACAGAACTCTCTGCATGGTGTGCCCACAGGACTCTCTGCACGGTGTTCCTACAGGACTTTCTTAAGAGTATGCCAACAGGACTCTCTTCAGAGTGTGCCTACAGGACTCTCTACAGATTGTGCCCACAGAACTATCTACAGAGTGTGCCTACAGGACTCTCTTCAGAATGTGCCTAAAGGACTCTGAACAGAGTGTGCCTACAGGACTCTCTACATGGTGTGCCTACAGGACTCTCTTCAGAGTGTGCCAACAGGACTCTCTTCAGAGTGTGCCTACAGGTTTCACTTCAGAGTGTTCCTACGGGACTCTCTACAGATTGTGCCCACAGAATACTCTACAGGGTGTGCCTTCAGGACTCTCTACAGGATGTGCCCACATGACTCTACATGGTGTTTCTACAGGACTCTGTACATGGTGTGCCTACAGATTTCTCTTAAGAGTTTGCCTACAGTACTCCCTTCACGGTGTGCCTACAGGACTCCCTTCATGGTGTGCCTACAGGACTCTCTACAGGGTGTGCCTACAGGACTCTCTTCAGAGTGTGCCTACAAGACGCTCTATAGAGTGTGCATTCAGGACTGTCTACATGGTGTGCCTTCATGACTCTGTACAGGGTGTTACTCCTGGACTCTCTTCAGAGTGTGCCAACAGGACTCGCTTTAGGGTGTGCCTACAGCACACTGTGCATGGTGTTTCTACAGGACTCTCTACAAGTTGTCCACTACAGGACTCTCCATTGGATCTTCCCACAGGGCTGCATGGTGTCCGTCCAGGACTCACTACATGGTGTGGCTACAGGACTCGCTACATGGTGTCCGTCAAGGACTCACTACATGGTGTACCAACAGGACTCTCCACAGGGTGTGTACCTACACGACTCTCTACAGTGTGTGCCTACATGACTCTCTATATGGTGTGCCTACATGACTCTCTTCAGAGTGTGCCTACATGACTCTCTACATGGTGTGCCTACAGGACTCTCTACATGTCGTGCCTTCAGAGCTCTTTACACCGTGTGCCTACAGGACCCTCTACAGGGTGTGCCGACAGGACTGTCTACAGTGTGTGCATACAGGACTCTCTACAGATTTTGCCTACAGAACACTCTACAGAGTGTGCCTACAGGACTCTCTTCAGAATGTGCCTAAAGGACTCTCTACAGAGTGTGCCTACATGACTCTCTGCATGGTGTGCCCACAGGACTCTCTGCATGGTGTTCCTACAGGACTCTCTTAAGAGTGTGCCAACAGGACTCTCTTCAGAGTGTGCCTACAGGACTCTCTACAGATTGTGCCTACAGAACTCTCTACAGAGTGTGCCTACAGGACTCTCTTCAGAATGTGCCTAAATGACTCTCAACAGAGTGTGCCTACAGGACTCTCTACATGGTGTGCCTACAGGACTCTTTGCATAGTGTTCCTACAGGTTTCTCTTAAGAGTGTGCCTACAGGACTCTCCACGTGGTGTGCCTACAGGACTCTCTTCAGAGTGTGCCTACAGGTTTCTCTTAAGAGTGTGCCTACAGGACTCTCTACATGGTGTTTCTGCAGGACTCTCTACAGGGTGTGCCCACAGGACTCTACATGGTGTTTCATCAGGACTCTGTACATGGTGTGCCTACAGATTTCTCTTAAGAGTTTGCCTACAGTACTCCCTTGATGGTGTGCCTACAGGACTCTCTACATGGTGTGCCTTCATGACTCTCTACATGGTGTGTCTACAGGACTCTCTACAGGGTGTGGCTACAGGACTCTCTTCAGAGTGGGGCTACAAGACTCTCTATAGAGTGTGCATTCAGGACTGTCTACATGGTGTGCCTTCATGACTCTCTACATGGTGTGTCTACAGGACTCTCTACAGGGTGTGGCTACAGGACTCTCTTCAGAGTGGGCCTACACTCTATAGAGTGTGCATTCAGGACTGTCTACATGGTGAATCATGACTTTGTACAGGGTGTCCCTCCTGGACTCTCTTCAGAGTGTGCCAGCAGGACTCGCTTTAGGATGTGCCTACAGCACACTGTACATGGTGTTTCTACAGGACTCTCTTCAAGGTGTCCACTACAGGACTCTCCATTGGATGTTCCCACAGGGCTGGCTACAGGGTGTGCCTACGTGACTCTCTACAGAGTGTGGCTACAGGACTTGCTACATGGTGTCCGTCCAGGACTCACTACATGGTGTGCCAACAGGACTCTCTGCATGGTGTTCCCTAAAGGACTCTCTACAGTGTGGCTACAGGACGCACTACAATATGTGCCTACAGGACTCGCAACATGGTAATTTTACAGGACTCTCTACATGGTGTTTCGACAGGACTCTCTATAGAGTATGGCTACAGTACCCTCTGCATGGGTTCGTTTTGATACCTTCACATTTCGCTCCATCACCTTTTGTTCAGCTTCCAGTTTACATCGCTACAGGGTGTGCCTACGTGACTCTCTACAGAGTGTGGCTACAGGACTCGCAACATGGTGTGCCTTACAGGACTCTCTGCATAGTGATCCCTACAGGACTCTCTACAGTGTGGCTACAGGACTCTCTTTAGAGAGTGCCTACAGGACTCTCTGCATGGTGTTTCTACAGGACTCTCTACAGAGTGTGGCTACAGTACTCTTTGCATGGTGTTTCTACAGGACTCTCTTCATGGGTTCGTTTTGATACCTTCACCTTTCGCTCCATCACCTTTTGTTCAGCTTCCAGTTTACATCGTTTCTTTGGGTTAGTATTACTATCATGGAGTTTAGTTTACGTGGGCTGTCAGATACGTATATTCATTTGTTGGTCGCGCTGACAACTCGCGTTGCATTTGACTTGTGTCACGATGTGCACGTGCGCGGTCAGACTGCGCTAACATAACCATTCAATAAGTTTTCAATATCCAAGACTTATTAAAACGAGCATGAATCGATTGCTTCCTCTCTCAGAACTGCATGATGACCTTCGTCAAAGATAAGACGAACACGCTGCAGAAGAGTGGTACCAGCTGACAGCATGTTATTTGTCCACATTCATCATGCTTCAAAGACTGCTATATCTGGACCTCAGGAGAAAGTAGTTTTTTAAGCCATCGACGCCCATTTTAATACATGGTCATACAGTAGACAGTTCTGGGGTCCAACTTACCACGAGGAGCAGCCAAGGCCGTGGCCATACACACAGCAAGTAGAAGCAGCCTCATGTCACAATGCCTAGGTGAAAGAAACTCGCATGTCTTAGAAACACCATTTATATCTACAAAACGTCCTGCCGCAAGCTTGTATCTCTACAAGGAAGATTTATTTAATGAGCTTTCTCTAAGTTCCATGACGAAATGACATTTCCTAGAATGCTGATACAGAGGAAGGTATACTTTACGACTAGTTCAACACACATACACTACAACAGACCAAGGTGTTGAGAAGCGTGAACCACGTACCCTACCTGTCAGCTGCGGCGGTGAGAGCGAAACACACCGGAATCACGTGCCCTTGTCTTATCTAGGCATATTTCAGGTATTGGCACTCCCCGAGGACGCGACATAACTCTGATAGCCAAGAATAAGACTCTCAATACAAACACATCCATACCCATTCCTCTAGTCCTTTTGTTCTTTTTTAACAACCTGACTGGTCCTCTTCCTGACTGTTGTTCTATGTTCAGATGAAAGTTGCAGGGGGTACTTGATGTGCATTTTCAAAACTGATGAATAGTATGCATATTCATTTGATCAAATACAACCGTGGAAACACATTAGAGTGTAACTGTACAGTGTTCAGTGTGGATCAGTTTTGGTTAAAATGAATACGGGTACGGTCCTGACCCACCAAGGGTAAGATTCGTGGCGAATCTGGGAATGGAACACACAATCAGAGGCTCCAACCTATGTCGCACATTTACAAAGGTGGACGTGTACAGCATGAAGGGAACGTGACGTAGCACACACGCACACACACCACATTTAAATCATATAAATATCGTAGTTATAAATATGTTAGAAACTTGTTTTACATTGATATAACTGTGCTTTATTTAAATTTGGTAGTTAAACGGTCAATGAAGATAAATACTGTATAGTGTAACAAAGGAGGGAACTTAGTACGTGTGGCGAGGTTCGTCAAAAAGAGAACAAGGTCAATTAACTTAATTCAAGAGCCACGCAGTTACGTAACTATACACCACAGAGGCAGAACCATGGGTTCACAGTTTCAATGTTTAATTTCGGGGAGCAAGCCACTAAACCTTTGGTACAATGTTCTGTCGGATTGGGATACTGATGCTAGATCATTTAACAAATTGTAGGAAAATAATCACCATCAAATGACGTCATTAGGGCAAAGTTGATTCCTAAAACATGTTAATCATTGTGACGCACACAGGCGCGCGAGTCTATTGACACTCTAGTCCAAACCTACCTGGTTTCGATGTTTACCACACCCCGGTGGGTGTGAAGGCAGCTATGGCAACACAGGAATTGCTCTACATTAACTAAGTTTAACATCATCTAGCAGTAGGTTCTGTCAGCCAGACGCCTCACACTCAGACAGGGCAGCTTCATAGGGTAAGTGGACACACTTGTGAACATATGTAGGTATGTTATGGTATGACATGGTCACCACTACGGTAACGTAACGCTCTTTTCTCTTTAATCTTGTAAGATTTGGATATGAAACTATTGTTTTACCAAGTTAGAACAAATCAACGTTATGTCAAACGTAAGGTTCAACCTGATCTACCTTAGTAATGTAATCCCTTATGTAGTGAGATGAAAAGGGGTGTACGTTGCGTTCAAGATTGTTGCACTTACCGACTCCGAGACAAACAGTCCTTGTTTTTCCGAACGCCAAGTAGGGTAATAAGTACCATCTTTTAACGTCTTTTGGTTTGACGCGGCCATGGGATCGAACCACCGACCTCCCGATCTCCGGGCATACGTTCCATCCACTGAAGGCGGTGACGGCCGTAGAACTACAGCCAGTTCATAAACCCTGAGGTCAAGGGATCAAAATTGTGATGTAAAAAGTTACGTCATTTTCATTTGTAATTACCTCAGATTGTGAGCCATGGTGTTTCCTTGGACATCTAAAGCATAACTGGAAATGTGCATTTGAATATCTTTTTTTTCTAAACGTTTCAGGAAATAAATAAGAAAGGATTACGCCATACTCTTGGCCATAACGGGCGACATTAAAACTGCCATTAACTACTCACAGATGTATATGAATTGTTATTCAACTAGTAACTAGTGCCTGAACAGTGACCAGACGGCACCAGCTATACGTGGACAAAGACCAGAGTGTACCAGCTGCACGTGCACAGTGACCAGAGCGCACGGTCTTGTACGTGGACAGTGATCAGAGCGTAACAGCTGTACGCTGACAGTGACCAGCGTGTACCAGCTGCACGTGGACAGAGACCAGAGTGTACCAGCTGCACGTGGACTGTGACCAGAGCGAACGGTCTGTACGTGGACAGTCATCAGAGCGTACCAGCTGTACGTGGACAGTGACCAGAGTGTACCAGCTGTACGTGGGCAGTGACCAGAGTGTACCAGCTGCACGTGGACAGAGACCAGAGTGTACCAGCTATACGTGGACAGAGACCAGAGTGTACCAGCTGCACGTGGACTGTGACCAGAGCGCACGGTCTGTACGTGGACAGTCATCAGAGCGTACCAGCTGTACGTGGACAGAGACCAGAGTGTACCAGCTGTACGTGGACAGTGACCAGAACGTACCAGCTGTACGTGGACAGTGACCAGAGCGCACGGTCTGTACGTGGACAGTGATCAGAGCGTACCAGCTGCACGTGGACAGAGACCAGAGTGCACCAGTTGTACGTGGACAGTCATCAGAGCGTACCAGCCGCACGTGGACAGAGACCAGAGTACTAGCTATACGTGGACAGAGACCAGAGCGCACCAGCTGTACGTGGACAGTGACCGAGGCTTAATCATATATGACCAAGATGGACGCTAAGTACAACGCTACCAACACGGCGGACTCAATGCCTAAAAGTGACTTTGGCAACTTCCATACCTTTGTCAACATCTGCAACAAATACATCATCCCGTTTATCATCATCACTGGCATCATCGGCAACATCATCTCATTCGTCGTGTTTATCTGCTCCCAGTTGAAGCGTCTGTCTACATCAGTATACCTGGCGGCCCTGGCTTTTGCCGACACCGGGTTTCTGATTTGTGTCGGTTTTGGTTGGCTAGACAATGTAGGTGTAGCCGTCTTTCGTGGCAGCGGTATCTGCCAGATTGTCGTCTGGGTCACATATATCTTTAGTTTCGTATCTGTTTGGTATGTTGTCTGCTTCACAACTGAAATGTACCTCTCTATATTCCACAGCGATATAGGGCACAAAATATCAAAGCCGAGAAAGGCGCGAATTGTTGTCTGCTTTTTTTTAAGTTTTGCCTGTGCGTTTTACATGTACACATTTTGGTCGGCAAAATCTCTGTCAGTGGACGGGAAACAGTTATGCGTTCCACATACCGAAAATAGAAACGTCCTGATTGGTTTAACCCTAGCTGATACGACAATGACGCTCGTTCTGCCCTTCTCTATTCTGATATTTATGAACACTCGAATCCTGATCCTCATCATGCGAGTCTACAGCACGAAAACAGCGGGCGACAGCAATTCCTCCAGTGCTGATGGTACGATTGACAGCGGTCAAGCCTGCGATGGTCGACGCGTCAAATATGCCTCGAAGGTCCAAAAGAAAACAACAAAAATGTTAGTAACAGTAGCAATGTCGTTTTTGTTTCTCAACCTGCCCAGTCACGCGATACGAGTGCAGTCATTACTGAGGACCTTGTTCCAGTCAGGCTACGCCACGACAGAGATCGAGTACCTTTGTCACCAAGTAGTCCAGTTGCTGTATTACCTCAACTTTGCCATCAACTTTGTCATATACAATGCTTGTGCCAAAAGCTTTAGGAGAGCTATTCTCAGACTTCCGGAGATTATAATATGCTGCACATGCGCAGAAGAAGAAACTTATCATAGGAACCGGCGACAGAGAAATCCAAGAGTGATCCGCAGACTAGACAGAGAGAAAATTCAGAATTCGCGCCTGGTAGAGGTGCACCTGTCTGAGATGCACTTATCACAGATGCAATCATTTGGTCCCGGATTTATCTGCAGGTCTCCACCGTGTCTCATCCAAGAAGCTGTGCCCATAAAACAGGGTAACACGTCCTTGTAGCCCGACACAGCGTCTAATGCGGGGAGCCACATGCATTGGGCTCGAAACAGTGTTACATACAGAGAGACTTGCAAGGGGCTCGAAACAGTGTTATATGCAGTGAGACTTGCAAGGGGCTCGAAACAGTGTTACATACAGTGAGACTTGCAAGGGGCTCGAAACAGTGTTATATGCAGTGAGACTTGCAAGGGGCTCGAAACAGTGTTATATGCAGTGAGACTTGCTAGGGGCCCGAAACAGTGTTACATACAGTGAGACACATGTATGGGGCTCAAAACAGTGTCACATACAGTGAGACTTGTATGGGGCTCGAAACAGTATTACATACAGTGAGACCTGCAAGGGGCTCGAAACAGTGTTACATACAGTGAGACACATGTATGGGGCTCAAAACAGTGTCACATACAGTGAGACTTGTATGGGGCTCGAAACAGTATTACATACAGTGAGACCTGCAAGGGGCTCGAAACAGTGTTACATACAGTGAGACACATGTATGGGGCTCAAAACAGTGTCACATACAGTGAGACTTGTATGGGGCTCGAAACAGTATTACATACAGTGAGACCTGCAAGGGGCTCGAAACAGTGTTACATACAGTGAGACACATGTATGGGGCTCAAAACAGTGTCACATACAGTGAGACTTGTATGAGGCTCGAAACAGTATTACATACAGTGAGACCTGCAAGGGGCTCGAAACAGTGTTACATACAGTGAGATTTGCAAGGGGCTCGAAACAGTGTCAAATACAGTGAGACACAGTCATGGGGCTCGAAACAGTGTTACATATAGTGGGACTTGTCTGGGGATCGAAACAGTGTTACATACAGTGAGACACAGTCATGGGGCTCGAAACAGTGTTACATATAGTGAGATTTGCAAGGGGCTCGAAACAGTGTCAAATACAGTGAGACACAGTCATGGGGCTCGAAACAGTGTTACATATAGTGGGACTTGTCTGGCGATCGAAACAGTGTTACATACAGTGAGACACAGTCATGGGGCTCGAAACAGTGTTACATGCAGTGAGACACATTCATGGGTCTCGAAACAGTGTTACATATAGTGAGATTTGCAAGGGGCTCGAAACAGTGTCAAATACAGTGAGACACAGTCATGGGGCTCGAAACAGTGTTACATATAGTGGGACTTGTATGGGGATCGAAACAGTGTTACATACAGTGAGACACAGTCATGGGGCTCGAAACAGTGTTACATATAGTGAGATTTGCAAGG